CATTGCTACATTGCTACTTCATAACTGTAATGTTGCTACTGTTATGAATCATAATGTAAATATCTGATATGCAGGATGGGACCCCTGTGGCTTAAATGAGTACAAGCAGAGAGGACAGGAGAACCCACTGCCAGGTTCCTTGGTCCCATCTGGCTTGGAGAACCCAAGCACCCTCTCACCATGGCCGGTACTGGATTCACTGAAGTTGAAAGGAGTAATGTCCAATTGAGCTGCCATCATAGTTTCAATTTCTGTAGATAAGAAACAGAACTCATTTTAGGGAAATGGATAGTAACTGCAAACCAAAACCGCATGCAGCCAACAGATTTTTTATTTTCCATAAACTTGCTACTTGATTTCACCTCCCCTGTTTCCCAACACTTCTCCTCAACTCCCCAATGTCAGTTTCGTTTTCACTTGTTGCTTCTTCTCTACACAAACATATTTCAAGTGCTTCCTCAGCTCTGGTTCTGGGCGCCCTTCCCCATCCACTGAGTAAATTATTGTTTTGAATGCCATTTGTATGTACTCATAGCCTAGATTCGACCCTCCTTAGAATTTTGAACTTTTATATCCTATTCAACTTCCCCATTGGGCAAGTTCATGGGCATCTCAAACAGAACTCGACAAAAATGGAGCCTTTGACCGTCTCCCAAACTCCAGACCATCTAAATGATTCTGCCCCCATTTTGGTAGATGCCATCACCATTCAGCCAGTAGCAGCTGCAGAACCTTGGGGTCAGTTGCGTCTCCTCTTTCCTCACTTGCTCATCAGTCTACCATCAAATCCTATGGATTTTAACTCCAAAACATGCAAAGTTATCCATCATTTCCACCTTTATGCTAAGCCAAGCCACATTTGTTTGCCATGCTTACAGACTCCTAACCAATCATTTCATCTTCAGTTCTTTTTCTCCTCTATAATCAAGTGCTTTTTTAATACTAATTTTTTTTAATTTCCTCCAATGCCTCTTCCCCCAGCACCATTACAAAAAAAAATACAGCTGTGCTGAGGTCCACTTGCTATTTGTTCTAATCACATTCCCAGGGGTTCCGACAGAACTCATACCACAGTAGGAAGCTGTTTGTCTGTTTTTTACTATGCCCCTTTAGGTTCTGAGCTTTGTGATGATGATAGGATCATCTGTGTCTTGAATTTCTCTTATTACCTGGGACAAGCACAGTACTGGACAGAGAGTGGTTCTCAATAAATATTTGTTAAGCCAATAAATCAATCAAAAATCTTTCTGATTTTTTTTGCTTCCTTTCTGATATTTCTGCCCAGCATATATCTGTGAAAAAGATTATTCTTTCCTTATTCAATGCTTAGAGTCATAAAAACATGCTATTACAGTTTAAATACTTTTTCTCTTTGCTACTTAAAAACATTTGGCAATGGGGAAAGTGTAAAAGGGAGTGATTTAAGTAGAACAAGAAATTGAGAGAAAGGAACATAGACATAAAGAAAAATGGCAGGAAATAAGTACCTATCAATAATGACCTTAAATGTAAATAGATCACATGCTCCAACAAAAGACACAGACTATCTGCATGGATAAGAAAACATGAGCCATATATATGCTGT